AAACGCTGGAAAAGCTGCAGCACATATGCCGAACCTGTACGTGGCGATGTAACTTCCTCCACCAAAAGCAGCGAGTATAAGATCCCCCCCGGATGTGTAAGGCACAAACAAACAAACAAACACACAAGGTGGAAGATGGCTGATATTTGTGCAAGAAAGGAGGTCTTTTCGTGGACTGATGATGAGGTAGAACTTCTACTTCGGGTCACATTAGAGTACAAAACTTCACTAATACAGGACAATGTTGACTGGGAGTCCTGCAAGTTGAAGTATAGTGATATAGACGACTTATTTCAGGCGCAGTATCCGAGGACCGACACAGGGAAGGATTTCCCTCACAGCGTGGGGGCCATTACAAAGGCCCAGCTTGCCGCCAAGCTTAAACAAATCCGCATAAAGTACAGGCATGCGGTGGACACGAAGCATCGGAGTGGCCAAGGACGTGTTGTGCACATGTTTTTTGAGCTGTGTGAAGAGGTCTGGGGTGGCTCGCCTGCAACGTGCTCCCTTAGCTCGGGCATCGAGACGGTGGACCTGGAAGCGTCGTCTTCCGGACCAAGCTCACCACGGAGTTTGGAGTGTTCCAACGATTCGCCACCGCCAGAGTTGAGCGAATCCAGCGGAAGTCTGCCAGCTGCTGCAGTTGTACAGCATCGCAGGAATCTGCTCCAGGTATGTTCATGATTTCAAGCTTAACGGACTTGCTACATACTACGATACAGTACCTTCCACAGAAAAACTGAACACGTTTAAGCTTTGTAAAAGTAGAATGTATTGAGAGCTGTTGTATTTGTAAAAGTAGAAGCTATTGCACAACATGCCTTTGGTCTTATGTGATCTGGTGGTCCTATTGTGTAATAATAAAAAAATGCTCTGGTTTATTCAAGGTGCAGCTGAACGGCCACAGAAGTGACCGCTTGAAAAAAAAACTTCCAGTTGACCATGCCGTACAGGAAGACCTCAAACTCAAAAGGAGGATGGTGGAGCTGATGGAGCAAAATCAGAAAACATCCACCCGCAACGCAGAAAGCTTTGTTCAGATGAATGCCAATATTCGGGAGGGCTTTTCCCTGATGGGGGAATTCATGCATGCGCAACCCCACAGCAGCATTGGTGGACAATTACAGGAACAGTCACCGTACCTGTATAGAAGGCCACAGCCTGGCTACACACCAAGCCCCTCTGCACCACAACGGCACACGAGGACCCCTGACCCCACACGGCAACCATCCCAGTATTCATACAGCCAGTCACTCTTTGAAGAGGACTGTTTAAGCACAGAGCTTCAGTTTTTGTTGCACTTTATATGTATATAAAGAAAGTCTGGAAGTGGGTGCAGCAAATTTAACTTTTTTATTCCAGTGAATATTTTTTGTTGCCAGTCAAGGTGTTCTATTCCTTGTTTTACTGTGAACATGAGGACTGTTAAAGCACAGAGCTTCAGTTTTTGTCCAGTTAAAGTCTGGAAGTGTTTTTAACTTGTTATTCCAGTGAATATTTTTTGTTGCCAGTCAAGGTGTTATATTCCTTGTTTCACTGTGAACATGTGGACTGAAAGCATTTAACTTTTTATTCCATAAATGTACATATATATCATTATAGCTCTTGCAACTCTGCTTAATAAAAAACATTGCAAAATAACAGTCTTGTCTCTCATGTCAATGTACTCCGCAAGCACTCTTCACTGTCTTTCCCTCATTACAGTCAGTGAGATATCTATTACTGGCCAAGTTGACTGAAAGCAGTGAGCTTCAGTTTGTGGCGTAGTAAGCCAGTTGTTTAACCCATAAGAACCCGGACCTGTTTCTACTTTTGGGAACATAAGAACATAATTAAGACATATATAGACCATATTTCTGATAAATAACCTCCCCTAGTGTCATATAACTCAGAACTTCAATAATGAGGATGCGTTTTTGGTTTAAATAGGTTAGAACATTGTTTGAACTGAAGAATAAAGGATATATTAACTAAATGTAATTGAATCAGCTAAATGAACTGAGCAGATCATAATCATATTTCTAATCGTGCATATGTCACTCCGGGTTTCCTGTGAAAGTCAGGGTGGAACATCAGTGTAACTTTACAGAACATTAAAGTTCATGTGACACCGTGCCACGTTGGTTCCTTATGGGAAAGTATAAATATACATATGATAATTAAGACATCTATATACTATATTTCTGATAAATAACCCCCCCTAGTGTCAAATATCGGAAATGTCACATGTTGCACTTTAAGTTCAAAGAAAGTCTGGAAGTGGTTGCAGGCAATTTTATTTTAAATTTCACACTTTGAACATTGGAGAATCACATATTTTGTTGCTTAATGTTACATACATTAAGAAGTACTAAGTAAAAAAAAATAAAAAAAATGGTCACTGAAGGAGCTGCACAGTGAATGTAACAAATAATGTTTATCAGATGTTAACACAGTAACCTTCCCAAAAAAAAAATACAGTCTGTCTTTTATGTAGTCCTACGGGTCAATGTAAGCCGTAAGCACTCTCCTCACTCTCTTTCCCTCCCCCTCATTACAGTCAGTGAGATACCTATTGCTCTGTGTGGGAGGCTGTAAATCCCTTTCAGCTTGAATTGTTCCCAACACAGACTGAACATCCACAGCCTCCTTACTGGCCTCACAAAAATTGTGGAGGACAAAGCAGGAGTAAATGACATGGGGCAGGTCAACCAAGTTTATGTCCATAGGCCTTCTAAGTGCAGCAAATCTGTTCTTGAGGCGACCAAAAGCACACTCAATGACCATACGTGCCCTACACAAAGTTAGCCCAAAGTACTGTTCCTGAACTGTGGAGCCATCGGTTGCATATTCCTTCATCAGGTACGGCAGCAGCGGGTAGGCAGGATCACCAAGAAGATAAATTGGTATGGCCTCCTCCTCGTCCACAATCTGTTTTCTCAGAGCAGGGATCTTTCCAGTTTTCAAGTACATGTTTACCTTTGAGTTAGCAAAGACCCGTGCATCATGCACACTCCCAGGCCACTTTACCACGACATCCATGAATCGGTACTTGTAATCACAGACGGCCTGTACATTAAGGGAATGTCTGCCTTTCCTGTTGATGTAGTCAGTGGGGTTGTTAGATGGCTGCTTGATGTCGATGTGGGTTCCGTCCACTGCTCCTAAACATTGGGGCATGTGATGAGCATGATCGAAGCCCTCAACCAGATCCGCGGTCTCGGGCTCAGTATAAGGCAGCTTGATATATTTTGGACCCAGGTGGATTGAGATCGCTCTGCACGTCTGCCTAATAATGTAGGACAAAGTCTGGCGCGAAACACCGAAGGCATTAGCAGTCTTCCGCATCCTTCCCCCATCGCTCAGGTAATACAGTACTAACGCAACCCTTTTCAGTGGATCAATTGGTGCCCTCATGTTTGTTGTTTGCCTTTCAATATATGGGCACAGTTCTTCGGTCAGGGCGACGACAGAGGATCTGGACATGCGGAAGTTCTCCCTCCATTCCTCATCCACGACAACGCCATTGACAAAATTGTCCCACCAACTGCTGCTTCTGCCCGGTCTTACCCAAAACCTTCTCCTGGTTGCCCTTCGGGTTATTCCCCGCGGTACTCTTAGCAACATGTAGGTCATGTTCTCCATGTCCTGTTGTTGCTGATGGATGAGCTCCTGTAGATGTTGCACAAAGAACTGTAGCATGGTCAGTAGCGACTCGAGCACGATAGCAACCCTGCGATCCGCCATTGTTGTTGTTAACGAAACACATCAGCAATGATGCGGGGTACGCGGAGAGGTGGGAAGAGGTGGGGAGAGGCGGGGCTATGAAAACGAATGACCGTATAGGCGACTCCACGGCCCCGTTGGACCCCCCAGAGCGCTCCGTTCCCAGATCTATCCACCTTTGGACCCGTTGTCGTTTGCGGGGTCTGTTTCTACGTTTCCCTTACGGCGTCGTCGAGCTTAGAGGGCTATACACATGAGAAATATGCGGATTCAACCCGTTTTCGTCCTCGTGGAGCCGGGGCCTTAGACACACAGAACAGCTGTTTGTGTGTTTCAGTGGTGGGGTAACTGGAAAAGCTCTGTCCAAGAAAAGCCTGGCAAACTGGCTCTGCGAGTGCATTGCACATGCCTACGGACAGGCGGGGAGAACCTTCCCCATGGGGGTCCGTGCACACTCTACACGAGCCATGGCTGTGTCAACAGCCTTATTTAACGGCGTGAGTGTGGAGGACATATGCACGGCGGCATCTTGGTCAACGCCAGGTCCCTTCATTACGTTTTATCTCTTGGACATGTCTGGCTCCTTTTCATCGTCTGTGCTTGCTGGGGCAACACAGGACTGGTGAGGAGGGAGAGGGGGGGCTGTGGGTCAGTGGGCATCTGACCCCCTCCCCGGACGTAATGTGCTTACGTTCCCCGGGCCCCCGGTCCCGGGGGACGTGACGCGCACATGGGCTCATAGGGGCTGGAGGACTCTTTTTTCCCCTGCTTTAAGACAGGAGGAGGGAATCCTCCACGTTATGGCACACCTCCGCGGGGTAAGCGCGTCAGGGTGTGCTCGGCCAGCCGCAGCCTCTTTCTCTCCACGGTTACGACCGAGGGAGAGGTGTGTGAGGCACAGCGGCTGCTAACCAGAAAGCCGGTCAGAAACAGGGAGATGGAGCGGTGTTGTTGCGGGACGACAGTGCGCGTATACATCGGAGCCTGTGAGAGATATAACGTCGCCTTTTATGCGGTGAGATGTGCGCGCATTCAGGTGGGCCGCCCAGGGGCCGGCTACGTCTAAGTCTCAGTGAAGGAATGCTTGCATGAATAGGATACATGGGAGTACTCATAGAGTCCAGTAGAGGGCTCACCTGTGCTTATATAACAAGGGTTACCATATGTAACCCAACGTTTTGTACCCTCTTTTGTATTGGAAAGTATTCCCAACCCATTTCTTTTGAAACATACCATACATGTATACAGTTGTAAACTGATAAACCAGACCAGAAACATAATAAAGGCAGCAATAATACAGTTGCATCTCTTGAGACATTTATTCATAAAGAAGTTTTGTCCTTGTTGGAATAGCCAAGCAACAGGTTCAATGCTACATTCACATTTGCTGGTGTATGTACAGCACCATGAGGCAGGGAAATAATTGTGTAAATAATGAAAGAAGTTCAAACAATGCTTGCTTTTTAATTTCCCCACACCTGGTCAATCGCTGTAAAATGGCCCTCAGATTGTCAGAGTAGAGAAGTTGCATTATAGTTACAAAACTGTTGGCTCTAATCTGAGTAGTTGATTTTCTTGTATTGTTGTGTATACACTTTATAAGGTGTGGTATACATGTGTGTTCTTTATATTTGACATCATCTTCCTACTTTGTCACAACGGTGCATGTATTTTGTTTTTTTCTGACAGCAATTCTCATTCTGAATTTCCTTTACGTAATCTGTTTAACATTTACTTTATGAAAATAAGCTTGAAATGGAAACTGTTATCTACTATTTGTTCAATCGAAATTCTACAAAATAAGTTTGGAAAACAAAGCTGTCAGCAGATACATCCCCTCAAATCTAATGTAACAAAGATTGGTGCTGTTTGAACATTAGATTTAAGGCATATGCACGTATATACACGCCGTTTAAGCACATTTGCATAACACATGGAGTTATTATTATAAAATAATAAGACGAATTATACAAGATCAGTAGTGAAAATTTGCCAAGATAACATTTGATTTACAGTCATGTCCTGTATCCGATAGAAATAAGGTTATTATACCTGCCACATCTCTTATACACACCTTACTTTTGTTGTACCAGAAAATAAAATACAGAGGTTAATTAAAGCATTTGTGCAAATTGGAAACGATCTGCAAAACATTCAACTAAAAACATAATTTCTATAGCAGTATGATATTCATCCCGATTTCAAAGTCAAAATAAATGTAACACTGTAGGGTAATATAACAAAAACAGTGGGTCGAGCAAGTATAATTAAGTCTCATACTAACACACATTGAACCAGAGCTCATCGTTCATGAGCAAGACGAGGTACTTGCTTTAAGTTCTCCCATACTTCTTAGTATCTTCATTTCATATTGATGTAGTTCATTTGCATAAAGTTTGACACTATGTGTGGCATAATCAAAAACAAACTGGCACTTACATGAGGTAACTCAATAAGTGCCACAGTTATCAATTAGATAAGAGTCCATTCTTAATTGTCTTATTCGCTCACAATTACGCTATGCTCAAATCGATCCTCCATCACCTGTATGTGTAATTGTAACATACTAATCTTACTAAAAACATGCTCAAATACTTTCAAATCCTTCTCACACATTTGACTTCACTTTCACAGCTGTCTTTCTGTTTTCATGATTTGATTGGAGTTTCTTCACAGCATGGCAGTGTCTCTTTGGGCATACCAAATCATATATGTGGAAGGAACTTATGTAAATATATATATAATAGCAAAACAAAATTGAACATATCTTTCACATGGCAAGAGGTTCCACTGAATAAAACATCCATATAATAAAGAACAGTAAGACACAAAGCTGAAATAACAGCTCAATACATGTTACAAGTTAAATCTGAACAGTAAGAAGTTGCGGGTATTCTGCAGTTATCCCATGTTTGTTTGCTCACTTTATACACATGTTAGTTGTTTTAGTTATTCACACACTGTTTTGGCAGGTTTCTGCATTTGTAGTCCTTTTTCCACCTGTGATGAGGTCCAGATAGATGTGATCAGGTGCAGCAGGAGAAGTTGGGTTTCTTCCTGGGAGCATCTAACTTGTGCAGCGACTGATACTGATCTTTATCATCAAAAGCAGCCTGTTTTGTTACCTGCCTGTAGGGTGGAAAGAAAACAGGTGAAATAAGACATTTATGTAACAAAAAGCTTTTTGTAATGTTCATTTATATTTTACAGTATTACTTGTCAAAAAGATCAACACAGGAGAAGCTACAGTATATAGATCTTAAAGGTCCCATGTCATGGCCATTTCTACTGATCATAATTCCATTGTTGAGGTATACTAAAATAGATTTATATTGTGCAATTTTCCAAAATCACATTGGTTTCTCATACAGCATCTCTGTATAGTATGTGTATTCACTCTCTGTCCTAAACGGCTTGTTGGAGCTCCTGCCCCCCCCCCTCCCTGTGAGCCCAGTGGCCGTCTGCGAGACAGCGAGACACAGCGAAACCCAGCCCGAAACCAGCCCGAACACACACACACACCCGCAGCCTGGCTGGGAGTTTGTGTGTGTGCACTGCTCACACACCGACTCACAGCCTTGCCGCGTCCCGCTGTCTCAGGGAGGTGAAATCGGTGGAGCTGCAGCTGAGAAAAGATTGAGTGTGTGTGTGAGGAAGTCCGCGGATTGGTCCATTTGAACCAATCCACGGACTTAACCTAACGGCTCCGCGGACGTAACGAAACGGCTCCACGGATTGGTCCATTTGGACCAATGGGTCCATTTGGTTATGGTCACGTCACTGTACCCAGGAAGAAAACAATGGAAAAAGAGAAATCTCCAACGAGGCGTTCTGGGGCAGCATAGACAGGTATTTTCTGTGTTAGAGTTTTACTTGCTACAGGGTGTACTTTGAGGGTTTGTGACTTTGCAGACCGTTTACATGCATAAAAACCTTCATAACACACAAGGGGACGGGTAATAACCGGAAAAGCATGACATGGGACCTTTAATCAAATATGACTAGAGCTGCAACGATGACGACTAATCGCTTTCTCTGATCAGAAATGATATGATGATTTATTCATTGTTAGTAATCTTTGCATGCAGAATATCAGAAAAGGCTGTTTTCAGCTTTTAAACGAGCCTGCTTTTCTTTGTTTTATATTGTGCTAAATTAAATACCTTTGAGTTTTGAACTGACAAAACCAGACATTTAAAGACATCATCTTTGAGAAACTAAATAGACATTTGAAACTATTTTTGAGATATTATAGATCAAACAAGTAATTGATTAAGATCACTCAAATCAATGAAAACCAAGTCCGCAAAAAACAAGAATGTATGCAAGTAACATAGTTGTAGACAATGCAAGAGTTAAAAGATTCACAAGAAAACTGCACATTTTACCTCCATATTAGTTTTCCTTTGCAGTTCTTCTTTACACACCAGAGGGCAGCAAATGACAAAATTACAGGGCATTGTCTGTTTTATAATGCACGCAGTACAAGGAGGTCCTTATTCTTTTTTTGTATTATTATTGAACTTTAACCTTAAACAAATCATTTTTCTCAGCTATGTTTAATCTTAGTATCCCACTAAGCCATGCGGGCAGACCTGCATATACAACACATGTCCTCTGGAACAGCTAATAAATACAAGCAAGTCTATAAAATAACTACACCTTTATTTAACATCTGAAATGTCTGCTGAGGAGTAAAATACTCATAGACTAAGACAAACATCCTGGTTGTGTGATGTGCATTCTTCCGAAACAGTGTCTCACCTGGCGAGGTGCAGCACGGCCTCCAGGATGTTAGAGCCGTCTTTGGCACTAGTTTCACAGAACAGAGTGTTGTAGGTCTGTTGGGTGAAGACATTAAGATTAAGGTTTTGGATATTTGGATTACAATAGGACAGTGTGGGGAGTAAGGGGCTAGGTGGTGTACCAAATGTTTAAAGTTAGTTCATTAAAATAGACTTTAAGTTTAGTAAAGTGAGTGGGTTTTTATTTGATATTACCATGGCCAGTTTCTCTCCATAGCTTGTAGGGACACAGTTGGTGCCATCTTGTCTAAGATCACATTTATTACCCACAAGCATGATGGGAATATCTTCCTGGGACACATCCTGCTATGCAAACAAAAATAATTGAACAAGGTTAAACAGCAATAAATACATTAGAAATCCAAATATTGCAGATAACCTCAATAGTGTTAACTGATATATTGTTGTACTGACTTGGTGATTACACAGAATACATTAACTAATAACCATCAAAGACCAAAACACTGATTTGACGTTAAGCACAACGGCCTGTCCATAGGGCATTTTATGAGACAGTACATTACATACATATACAGCATGCAAAATAGAAAATCACAGAAATGTCAACATGCCCACAGTTTAACAGCAGGACACAATCTGAACAATGCACATCCAACACTTACATATCTGCTGCGTGTAACAAAAAGAGAAAACATCATGATCATTGTGTTTGAAATTCAAATGAACATTAATTCACATCTTATAAAAACAGAAATGCTGCCGGTACGAATTGAGATATCAGAAGAGTAGATAGATTTCATTTTCACTCTATTCTGATCAATTCTGTGACTTATCTTTGCTAAATACAAACATTGTCAGTCAGCAACTCTTTAGCAGCAGGCATTACCTCGATCATGTCCACCCACTCTCGAACATTGAGAAAGCTCTTCTCACAGGTGACGTCGTACAGCAGCAACACACCGTCTGCCCGGCGGAAATACGACTTTGCAATGCTGCGAAACCTGAGAGGAGGTAGGAAAGGGTTCAAAATACACACAAAAAAACTGAGGTACATGAGGTCTGCTTGTGTGTGTGTGTGTGTGTGTGTGTGTGTGTGTGTGTGTGTGTGTGTGTGTGTGTGTGTGTGTGTGTGTGTGTGTGTGTGTGTGTGTGTGTGTGTGTGTGTGTGTGTGTGTGTGTGTGTGTGTGTGTGTGTGTGTGTGTGTGTGTGTGTGTGTGTGTGTGTGTGTGTGTGTGTGTGTGTGTACGTTTTACATTAAAAAAATTGCAGCACATAATAATAGGCTCTTAAAAACACATCTATAAATAAATAGATGAAATATATATTATAATGAATATTGGTGCAATGAAATTGTATCCAACACACACCTCTCTTGTCCCGCAGTGTCCCATAGTTGTAGTAAGACGGGCTCTCCATCAACGATTAGTGTCTTCATTTGGAAATCCACTCCTGAACACACAAAGGAGACACAGTATGTTAAGTCACACTTCAATGCTGGCACAAAACTGGAACACAGTTTAATAAGTAGTTACGCCCTTGCTCAGTGGCTGATCAGATTACTGAATATGTACTGTAGCTATGACTACATGTCACTATGTGCAGAAATTAATCATTAACCAGTCAGATGGCAATTCTTGGGTGACATTATTTGACACGTCAATGAGGATTAAGTTAGAAAATAAAGCTATTTGAACACAAGATTTCCAAACGTTGGTTTTAGTCTCTCTAGCTCACCCAGTGTAGCGCTGGAGTTCAGTTTGTATTCGTTCTTGCAGAGACGAAGCAGGAAGCTGGACTTCCCCACAGCTGCGTCTCCTGCCAACACGATCCTGTAGGCCTTCTCTGACGTCATGTAGCCCAGGTCAGCGCTGTCCTTGTCCTCCTTCTGGAGAGACAGGCAGAGCGCATGTAGGGAAGGGAGGCACTCATGCAACACTTGTATTCTGCACATTTATGCCATGTTACATTTAACAAAATATGATGTATGAATATATTTTGTCCTCAGCATTGACCACTTTTCAACTGCTGCTTTTCTTATTTGCATCTTGGCCTATCATCAAGTCTTTTCAGTGAAGGAAATGAGGGACTTATGTACCGTTGCAGGACAGGCTATGTTAAAAAATACATAAAATAAAATCTAAAGCCCGACTGACAGCAGCTAGAGTTTCTAATTTACATAACACAACAGTATTTCTGATTAATAGAGGACAAACTGATCAATTGCTAGACTTAATGGTGTGTGGGAGCTAAAAACTATAACGTTTTTCCTGAAAACAAATCCCAAAATCTAATTTCAGTGAAAGAAATCTATGATTATCAACATGAAATCTGGCCTGTAGCTGTCACTTGTCTCTCTCTCACCTGAACACTGATGGCACTGAGGGCTTTCCTGGTGGTCAGGGGTTTGACCACGCTAATGGATTCAGGGTTCCAGTCCAAAACTGAGCTGCTGTCTGACCCGAAAGCAGATTCACCGTCCAGAGTATCTGCTGGCTGTGATGTACATGCACAGAATCAGACATTAATACAAAAATATAATCAGACAGAATCTACGATATGGATAGATAGTAACTCTTGCAAAGCATTTTATTTTTGGAGTACTGCAAAAAGAAAAATCTCAGTTATTTACTTTCCATGTTCTGGGCATGAAAATGTCTGAATTGTTGAATGCATTTGCGGAAATGTTGTACAGATAGGTGTTGCCCCCGGAGGATTACTCCTTTTCATGTAGCACTGTCATCAAGTTTAATTTTCATTGTTAATTATTGTAGTTTAGGTTAGAAAACCTGCAAAGTAGCCTCAGCTGTACTCTTTGTTATATACAGAGGACTTAGCAAATGTTAGCATGCTAATGTATGGTAAACTAACATATCTTTTTGAGCATGTGAGAATGATCATATCCTCACAGAGAGCCATAACTATAGTTGGAAACCTTTACTATCAAAAGAGCTAAACGTATTTACAACATTAAACATATTTCATCATTCAGCATGTCAAAGTGTCTTTGGGCAAGACAGTTAGCTCTTAATTGCTTCGATAGGCATATGGTATTGAAGTGTATGTAGGTCGTGGATTGATTTTGGTAGCAATTACTACAACTAGTATTAGTAGTAGTAGAAACTATTAACTAAAACAGTTAAGTTATTAGATATTTTTCCACTAAAAAATATCACCAAAATTAAGAAAAACTACTTTATTTCCTAAGTGTTGCCAACCCTTTATCTAGAGTCTAGACTAAAACACATATTGCTACAGTATTGATGGGCATGTTGTGTCTCTTATTGTCTTACATCAGTGTCAGAGTTGTGTTCATTCATGCTGTCATGGTTGTCCTCCTCCTCTGTCTTCTCCTCCCTCCTGTCCTCTTCTTCTAGACTTTTGACCTCCTGCTCTGAGTCGTAGCCTCCGTGTGATCCTCTGAGTGTGGACAGGCCGCTGTCCGTGTAGACTTCAGGCAGGCTGTCCTCCTCACACTCACTGCTGTCTCTGCGCCTCAGGCCCGGGTCACACATAGCCAACGCCAGAGTGTCACAGCTGGGCCGGCGGCTGTACACAGGAGGGAAATCCTCCATACGCTGGCTGAACCTGGGGAAGAGGTCAGGAGATTATGTGAATCCAAAAATCTATTTCTGCCTTTTACAATTGCTGTGAGTTAAACATATTGGTCCAATCATCAATACGTTGACTCTTTCTTCAATGCAAGACAACAACCAAAAAAAAAACTGTTCTGTGTACACATTCATGTGTGCTAGGAGAAAATCATATTTTATTGATATTTGAAACTCTGTATTTGAGATATATCCATTCCTATAAATTAAAATATGTTAAGCTTGTTCTTAAAAAAAAACCCTGAAGCTGCTAATCATCCTTAATCTACTGTATAACATCTAAACTTCAAGCAACCGAGTAAATGAAATGTAAAGTGTTCATCAACCAAACCTGTTTTCAAAAAGAAGAATATAATTTCATATATACTCAAAAAGAAGCACTCACACACAAGGTCAGAAGATTTGGTGATACTTAAAACGATATAAATTGAGACTGCTTAAAGAGGGCTTTCTAAATCTGGCAGAGTTAGTTATTCCACTCTAGTTCAAGCAAACATAAGCAATTCACTCTGAGCCTATCAGGTACAAAATGAAAGCAGAGCAGGTGTTATTGCTGCCTGATTTGGCACCCCATGTGTAACTTTGGACCAGGATGGTCATCATCTCACCAAAATCACACTGGCGGTTGTTATTCCATTCTAGTTAAAGCAAACAAGAGCATTTTACTCAATCAGGTGAAATATTCAATATGTTTAATCCTCCTCATTGTTTGCAGGTCTTACCGATCCATTAGTGCATAGGGTGATGTGAAGCAGATGCTTTTACTTCTTGCTCTCTCCTTTATTTCTCCTGGTGATCCAACGTTACCAGACTGTAACACACAACAATTAAAAATAAGCTTTCCATTGTTTCATAGCTTCCTGACATTGACAATCAGTCACACAGTGAATGCTTGGCTTGTTGTTCCAATTAATGCTTATTTTTTAATGTATTCATTATATAATAGGGTTCAACCATCAGAATGCCACGGTTTCCTCTTTGTCTTTCAGTAAATACAAATTAGAAATGCATTACCAAATATATTACACTGCAATACAACTTCAATGTCTTGCAAAAAACCCTAACATTGTAAAGCAAAAATAGCCAAAGTGAATCAAATTTATGGTTAAATACTGAATATTTATATAGATAATCATCACAATATCCAACCCAATATGTTAAATAAGCTTTTGAATTTGTATTATTTTTCGATGAACTATGGAGTGTTACCCGGTTGCTCCTCTCCAGGGTGGATCTCAGGCCATCGTTGCTGTCATGCAGCTTCCTGTTGGCTGACCTATCCACACAGAAAGAACAAAAATCATTATTGGATTCATTTTTATTCGCCAATACACCGTATTTTTCCTTTAGAATCTGCGTAAATTCTTGGTGCAGTTTCTGACTTACTGCAGAATCTCAATCTGGCTCTCCAGGATGTCCCGCTCGTCAGCGAAGTGTTTCATGAGCTCCTCATCGCTGCAACAAAACACAACAAGTGTTCATTATTATGAATCAAACAAAGGAGAACAATCAAAGTGATGACAACCTGAAATAGTGTCAGTCTAAATGTATTTTTTCCTTTCTCAAAGGACACCATATGCAAAATCAATGACTATAAAAACTGTTAATAAAAAGGAGATATATTTCCCTGCATCCTAATTAATAACAGTACACCCAGAGATTGTATTGACGTCAGATCAACTGATTCACTTTAAGACATCACAGCTATTTTATGATCACCCTGACACAAAGACAGAGAAACAACAATGTGAACACCGTCACTGAGATGGCCCGAGGAGGCGGAGTGTAATCCTGCCACTGGTCATGTTGTTTCTGTTGCTTAGTAACGCTGCTGAAGAAGTGACTGTGTGTGTGAAGTCACTCCAGGATATCCTGTTTCAGCTGTGACGAAATGAAAACACCCCCGGGAACCTGTCTGTCAGTCAGAGGGAGCGAGGCCTCTGTCTTTCTCTGTCCCTCTGCAGCAAATGGTCTCAATGGTGGGATTGTTTGATTAGCAGACTGGGGCCACGTTGATTTACTTTATTCTTCCAAATCGAAGACATTTTTTAATTCAAAATAGGTTTGAAACGTACGTAAGTTTGAGTTATTTTTTTGGTGGAGAACAGGTTGCAAATATTAAATATTCTTAAGTTCAGATAAATCTACAAGTGAGGTAAGAAGAAAGTGGAAAAAACCTGTTCTGCAACTCAGTAATTATAGGTTTAGAGTTGACATAGTAGGAAAAGAGTGTCTATGTGTGAGGATTAATGCAGTATTATGTAACAATCCTTTTTCTTTCTCACTATGAGAAATACAAAAATGTGTCCCATTTGCATCTTGCAAAAACAAAATGGGAACTAAAACAAAAAAACAAACTTGAAACTAAAATCAAAATGGCTTAAGATAAATCCAGTCAAAGAACCCCAACATGTATTTACTGTTCAGAGCTGATGCTTTGGTCTGTGATCTCCGTCTTCAGAGAGTCCATTTCACTGCGCAGACAGGCCACTTTGGTCTGAGACTTCAACAGCTCTTGTTTTAAACGCTGGTTCTCCTGAACACAAATGTAAGAGTGTTAAGAAAAGTAAGAGAAATGGCTCATACAGAAATCAGTGACATTAAAGACATTATTTTAAGTGCACTCAGTAGTCTCACCAGGGTCAGCTCATTGATCTTCTTCTTCAGCGCTGGGCTCTCGTCCTTCACCGTGATGTTCTTGTATTTCTCCTCGATCTGATGGACAAGTTCACATATTTAGGATTGAGATGATCTAACTTTCAGATTTACCTAAATGTAGATGCCCTCACGCTGTTGCTGTTGTAACAGCATGTACTGTACACATTTATTCACACTATCGTGGTCATTTTAAAGTTCCTATCAGTGGAGTCCAGCTGACATTTAATGATGTTAGGATTTCATGAAGTCAAAGGGAAGAAATTCGTCTTGGTGTTTAGTGAATGCAGTCACTGTTGTTCCTAAAAGAACCTCTCTTATCCCGCTGTTAAGCAGAACAGTGTTTTGACCAAACATGTACAGATAACCTTTAATAAGCTGTTAATATTTGCATCTAAATGCAGTCCTTGTAACGAAGCCTGACTCATGTCATCGGGACACTTCAACAGTACACCTTTGTATTTCTAAAACGTTGTATAACTTGTTTTAAATGTTTCAGACTTCATCTGAAGTAATGTATAGTTTAATGGTTGCAATACTTATCTCTGATCTGATGCCTTATTCTCGTGCACTAAAAGGTTAAAGGTTAATTAAGTTGGAAATAAATAATTGACTGCCCGTCCACACGGCGGCGTGCGTTGAAGCCAACGGAGCCCCGCGCCCCCCCTGAAATTCAAGGTGTTTTTGTTTTTTAAAATACATATTTATAGCACCAAATTGCTACTGTCACTTTTCACATTGAACATGTGCTCTTTTATTAAATAAACTAAACACTTTCATTTTAAGTTATGAGTTTTGTGTTTTTGACCCTAAGAAACACCGATGCATTAATCAATAACAATAATCCACAGTTTCTCTCTGCTCCAGAGGATTTAAAAAAATAAAATATCCCAACAACACCCAGTCCCCCCCTCCCGCTCAGACAGCACCCCCCCAAAGCAGTAAACCTAGGGGAAACACTGAACTGCATTGTGGTTCCGTCGCTTCGCTTTGCTCGCGTTGCTCACTTTGCTCGCGTTGCTCACTTTGCTTGCGTTGCTCGCTTCAGAAGTTGAGAAAAGTTCAACTTTTGAAGCTTCGACGGAAGCGTCAGCCAATCAAATCATATGCCAGTACAAGCTCTAGCCAATCAAACCGCGTGCTTGTGTGTCCGGAGCGGGAGATTCATGTGATTGGTTGTTGGTCGAGTTTCAGACACGCCCACAGGCAAGCTTCAACGCACGCTGCCGTGTGGACGTACCGTTACGCAGCGTCCACACGGCGGCGTGCGTTGAGCTTGTACTGGCATATGATTTGATTGGCTGACGCTTCCGTTGAAGCATCAAAAGTTGAACATTGCTCAACTTTTGAAGCGAGCAACGCGAGCAAAGCGAAGCGACGGAACCACAATGCAGTTCGGCAAAGCGTGACGTCACCCCATTCAAAGTGAATGGGCAGAAGCGTTGAAGCTTCAACGCACGCCGCCGTGTGGACGGGCCGTTACTGCAAATCTGATCATCTGCTGGACAGACACCTTATGCTTAGATGTAAAAAAACTCATCCACCTTTACTCACTTTAGTTAGAAAAAATGTAATAATAATTTAGGGGCTTCACAAAGACTTTAAAACAAATATTGAACGTTACTTTACCATAGAGCATATTAAAGAGAAACTGCCAGCTGTTCGATTGCCCTGCTTGTATTTATCTGAAAGCGTACTACTTTCTTAAACATCTTGTATTTTTCGTTTTTTATTAATGTTTGTATGTTTTTTATTTCTTTTTGTGTAGATAACATATCACTGGATGTCATACGGTGTTGAAAAATCACAATAAAAAAGCTTAATTTATGTGAACAGTAAATTCATATTTATATGATGCTGGAGTGCGGTGCAGTAAAAATGAAATGCAGTCAGAAAGCTGAGAGGTTTACCATCTGCATCCTCTGGATCTTACACTGCAGCTCACACACTTCGGTTTCATAACTTCTGCGCAGCTCACTCAGTGCAGCCTCTGTTCGTTTTTTCTCCTACATAAAGACACATATAAACAAAAACACACATGAGATATTAACTGATTAACTAAAACAACAGTTTATGGAACTGTGTGTGTGTGTGTGTGTGTGTGTGTGTGTGTGTGTGTGTGTGTGTGTGTGTGTGTGTGTGTGTGTGTGTGTGTGTGTGTGTGTGTGTGTGTGTGTGTGGTGTGTGTGTGTGTGTGTGTGTGTGTGTGTGTGGTGTGTGTGTGTGTGTGTGTGTGTGTGTGTGTGTGTGTGTGTGTGTGTGTAGTGTGTGTGTGTGTGTGTGTGTGTGTGTGTGTGTGTGTGTGTGTGTGTGTGTGTGTGTGTGTGTGTGTGTGTGTGTGTGTGTGTGTGTGTGTGTTTGCTTTCTCTCCAGTTATGTAATTCTTGTGACTATTTCAAGGCAGGTTTTGAGCCATAACAGAGGCTGCTGGGGAATTGCTATCAGCAACTTTCTACAGTATCTACAGTTTCCAAAAATATAAGTCTGTCAAGTGTTACAGCATGGCCCAAAACAAACAGCAGCTCCTGGGTTAGCTGAGTCAGTGAGGTACATTTACACAAGTTTAAACACACACACAGTGATAACACAGAGTTTATGTTCACGCACAAGCTTTAAAGAAACATCAGGGTCAAAGACAGGATGAAAGACTACAAACATACAAGTTAAATAAATTAGATGGTCTGAAGCCTGACTCTGCGAAAGATCTGCTACAGAGTTTGTCATTTTACTTTTCATATTATGTAGTGGAAAGCTAAATATTGTTATCAAATCTTATCATTTCACACGCCGCACGGTGTGATGTGTTTCACCAGATTCCAGGAAATGTCTAACGCTTTCATAACACTGACCATCCAGCATCATATAATTCCAGGAAAAAAGGGTCAACAAGGCAATAAATAAATGTATCCAAGTATCAAAAGCTATGTTGCAGTAAACAAATGCCTGCCTCTGTTGACCATGGCCAGGAGCACAGAGACGTTCTCAAAGCGTCGTGGCCAGTCCTGAATTTGCAGACAATCTTTTTAGATGATTATTTTTATTTCCACACAACCCAGCCTTATCGTCACAAGTATAAACAGCCTTATCATTTTAAACACTGGAGGCTAAAACATTCTCCAGCACCTCAATATATCCACTGTTTTATCTCTGGCATCCAAAGAGTTATTTATACTCCTGATTAGCAGGCAGGTCTTATAATGTAATGAGTCATCTGACAGCCGCGTACGTTTGTTTGACATGAGGGAAGAGCTGAGCAAACGCATCCTGCCTATGACTTTTACCTACCGAAACTACAAAGAAACAAACACACGAGCCAGATATTTATAAAGAACATCAAAATACATATTTTTTTGACGTCTTATCTCCAGGTTTTTCCTACCTGCTCTTGTGTTTTTCTCTCAGCAGCATGAATGCGTTGGTCCATCTCATCCTCCATTTCACTGAGCTGCATTGAGGCTTGGTCCTGCGCTCTACAAAACAGTAACAGGATAATCTCATCATCGATTCAATATATACTGCACACTGACACTTCCTACATCCTAAAAACGTAATGAAAATATCTTGCTCCAATTAATATGTCATATATAGGTAGATCTACACATTTGTGAAAGCTGCAGCTCCAACAATACTCAAACTATACTGTTAAATGTAATTGTTTTTAAATCACTTTTTTATATTCTGTCTGTCACTGTGTGTGTCTGAAGATGGAGGGATGACGGGATAACGCATTCTGTGTGTATGTGTGTGTATGTGTGTGTGTGTGTGTGTGTGTTTCCCACCGTTTGATGGCAAGTGCCAGGTTCTCCATCTCTGAGTTCTGCTGTCTGATCTCTTTGGTAAAGTTTATGATGACTTTCTCAAACTGGTTTATCAGTCTGGGCTCATTCAGGCTGATGTTCTCGTACAACGTAGCGGCTTGTTCATTCCTGAAACACAATCAGGAACTCACATCAGGTTAATTTTCTAGAACCAAATGTGACACAGTATTGTCGTCCCCCCCCCAAACAAATGTATGACTTTAAGGAGAATCCAAATGTTTTGACGTTTCCAACAGGACCCAACATTAATATCAGTAAAATAATATCTAGTCATATGTTTGATTGAGTAAATCAAAAGTAAAACTGGATTAAGATGGCTGCTGTGAGTTTGTCTCATAATAATGATATATAAAATATTCTGACATTCTGGGAAATGCGGGTATTTGTTTTTCTTTTGAGAGTAATACGAGTAGATTGTGTCATTGTAAAGCCTAATCACACAATGTAATCCAGAAGTCATCATATGGATACAGAAGTAAGACGTCTTGTGTCATAACTCAATGGTCAACGTGGGTAAAGTAGCATAAATCTACAGTGTGTTTGTGTGTGTTAGCCTCCTGACAGGGCGGACTTAAAGACTAAAGCAAATAGACACTGCTGTCTGTCTGTCAATACCCCGCACTTAAACACAATGTGTTGCAACATTATAAACTGAACACAATAAAAACACACATATACCAGCACAGAGGGGGAAAGTCTTTGTAATCTTTTGTTGAGGTTATACTATATTTTATGTGTTCAGGATTGCTATTGATGTTGTTGAAAACAGCTCTCTTTCTGAGAAAATCTTGACACCTTGTCTTGAAAATACAGATGTTTTGTTTGTGTAAGTAGCCAGAGGGTTAGAGTCACAAGAACTTAAAGTGGACCTATCATGCTATATTTAAATGATATATTGTAGGGCCATACCTATATAAGGTATATTTATACGTTTCTGTTTTCAAAATACCAAACAGATCATGCATTTTAGCCATGCCTCATTTCGCTCTATGTGCTGTTTGCTGTCTACGGGTCTGATTCTGCTGACCACGCCCCCCTGCAGGAGAGGTGAGCTGTGCTCTAATCAGCTGCTGGGCTGTCAGAAGAAGGGGAGAAAAAGAGATCTCCGTCCTCCTGTTTAATTATATAGAGTCGTTATTCATTTGTTTTAAAGCTCAATAAATAACAAAGAAGACCTTTGACCGGCACTTTTCTAATTTTGTCCGGAAGATTTAAACTTTAACGGACATCTTGACCGGCGAAAGAAACTGAAACTGAAACTCTGCTGCACGGTCCCCTCGTTCCTTGGAAGAGACGGAGAGGTGGGTGTTTGTCATCTGCTGGTGGACTAACCGGAGAGAATTACAGTGCTTGCCTCGACGGGGAGGGATTGCATTGAATTAAAGCAGCGGGAGAAAACGCTTGCCTCGGGGAGGGAGAAAAAAAGCCACAGCGGAGAATAAACAGAAGGGTAACCATGGTAACTATGGGCGGGAAGTCTTCTTCGCTGCTTTTGTGGCAGACTACAGCGCCACTTACAGGCCTGGCATATGTACTACAGCGTCTCCAGCGCTTTCGAGCGGCAATGGCCGGCCGTGGCCCAACCCCACATTCCCCTAATAGGTGGAGAGTTGGCCCAATAGCCGTAGCGCCACCGTCCTGACGTCAGGACAGTGTTCAAATCTGGATCAGTTTTTATCAGATCCGTTGCAGCCCCTTTTTTAGAGATTTGGGTATGGAGGAAAATAGAGAGGGTTGTGTTTTCTGACACTTGGTGAGTTCCCTGGAACACCGGGGACACATATTCATGTGTAAAAGACGTACAAAAGTGCATTTTGCATGATAGGTCCCCTTTAAAGAAACGGCACAGAAATAAGTCAGATTTTGCAAATATAGCAAATAAACTTGGTCATTTATTCAGTTTTTCTCCCTTTGCAACCTTGCCTTGTTTTTATTGTTAGTTATCTGTAGTTACTTCACTCAATAGTATATGATATCATTGCTTTGGTGTTGCCGATCTATCCGACACATGGGGAGGCTACAAAAAGAGATTAATATTTTTAAACTTTTTTAAGGCAACCTTTAGATCTCTAATACTTTCTCCGGTAAATGTTAAAGAGAGAAACGTTTGGAGCCCAGCAGTGTCCAGACCTTGTTTGTGCTCTGCAGTAAAGTGTTTTTCTCTTGCACCTAGGGTTGCAAAATTCCGGGAATTTTCAAAGATGGAAACTTTCCACGGGAATTAACGGGAATTTATGGGAATAAACTGGGAATTTTCAAAATTGAAGGTTGGCTCTTTATAGGGAACTTAAATATAGTTGGGGAAAGTATATTTTAGCATAATCTTGACTAAAACAAACAGATGCCATTCAAGTACACTTGAATATCCATGCCATAGCACACTGCTTACTGCATGGCTATTGAGACCACACAAAGGTTCGCAACAGGCTCACAAATGTGAGAGTGGAAACTGGTTGGCATTCGGGCAAACCTAAGGCTCTTTGAGCCTGACACAGAGCCATCCTCAACAAGGCTGGACAGTGACACTGAAGAGGAAGACTCAGAGTTGGATGTTGATGAGGCCCAGGAAGAGACTGTTGACTGAAAGGGTTTAGCAAAAATGCAGAGGATCGCTTGAAGGAAGATTTGCATGTTTAATGGGACTTTTTGGAGGGAGAAGGGCTCTTTTCATTTAACATTTTGAATGGGACTTTGTGGGGATTTTTGGATGGGGGTTTTTGTTCATTTTTTAATGAGTGGGGTTGGGGGGGATGAGTAACATTTAACTCAACATTCCTGTTTTCGTTCTTCAATGACACAAATAATTGTTCAATAAAATAATTAAAACTTGTTCTGTTCTACTTAAACATTTAAAAAAAGAAAAGAAAATCTGTTGAAATGTCATGTTTTTTTGTTTAATTTTGCATCGAATATTTCCAAAATTCCCCAGCTTAACTTTCCACGGAAACTTTCCGGAAACTTTCCGGAAATGTACCGGAAACTTTCCGCCCCTTTGCAACCCTACTTGCACCTGAGTATCTTTACCTGGAGGCTCACACACTTGGTCACCAAGGGGGCCTATCTATTATCAAAAGGCCAAAATACAGAGAGACATACAAATAATATTTAATATTCAAAGTCCAAGGCAAAGGGAAATGTAATTTTTTCGAAAAGTCTTCATGATGAGATGCTTTTTACTTAACACTTAACACACCAGAATATGCTGTAAAAAAGTAGATTTCTAAAAAAGCAATACATCTGAAGCATTTACAAACTTAACTAAATGAGTAAGGGATGAAGGACATCTTGTGCAGAGCCTAATATTAGTCTCAATCAGACGATTGATTCAATTATGTTAAGCAAAATTCACTCAATATATCAGCGTCAGTCAGCAATAAAGTTATGAAATGTAGTTGATTTTTTATTTTCTTGATGATTACATCTCACTTACAAAAAAAGTTTTCACTCCCTGAAAAAGTAGACACTTGTCTGAAGTGAGATGTTTACCAATGTGTCGTCCCTCAGCTGACTGCTAACTGTTAGCGATTTAGCCGACAACACCACTGTGAAAATCAATGTACCCCTGTCACAGCAGCACTGCAGCACGAGGACCAGTCCAGCATGCCCGGGGCCACATGAACACACACACACACACACACACACACACACACACACACACACACACACACACACACACACACAGATGGTAAAGCATCTTCTTCAACAAAAGAGGCCATTAAGTCAACCATGCAGGCACTTTGTTAGAGTAGAAGAGTTTACATTTACAAAACTTACATTTAATTTAGGAATTATTTTTTCAAAGAACAAGTAATGAAGGTAATTAATGTCGCTAATTGTAATTGCTTTCAGTAAGTGGGAGTTGTGATATAAACAATTTTCAATCATAACAAAAAAACATTGAAACCATCGAAACCATTTGCACTTAATCAAACACTTAATCAAACACTTAATCAACCACGGGAAGGGGTAACACCAAACTGTATCACAACTGAATCTTAAGAGAAAAACTATCCTTTCATACAAGAATCAGAAGGCCTCATGGGTGAAAGAACTGAACAGAGAAAGTGCAAAGTTAATACACTGAGGAACACAAAACTCAAAGAAGTACTGTGGCTGGAATAATTTGAAAGAATCTAGAAACCTAAAGATCTGGTGGGGCAAGATCCTTGCAGACCTAGTATGTGACAAATATTCATTATGCTATCTGCAGCACACAAAGGCTTTGTAGGAAATGGCATGTTTGAAAATAGAAGTAAGCTATATTGGGTTTAAATTGTACAATGGTGCAATAAACAATGAGGTTACAAATAATGTCTCAGTTTAAAAAACAAATTCTATTTCCCAATTAGTTTCACTAAAACCAAAATAAAAAAGGAAATCATTGGATATTGAAACAAAAAGAAGGTAATAAATAGTAATAGGTAGAGAACGACAATTATTCTAACAACTATACTGCAATACATCAATGAAGCAGAGAGTCGATAAAGATATGCAAATACAGTATGTGATGCATTGTGCTGCCAAATGTATAGAGGGTTAACGTTAAATGTCTCACTGTGAATTGCCTGCTGTAGTGAAACTACTGACACAAAGGCTTAATAATAATACATTTAGCAAAGAGGGAGAAAATGGTGGAGTCTGGATGTTCTGAAAATAGTAATAAAGTATGTCTAGGTTGAGAATTAATTTATAATTTATTGAATTATTATTTTTTGTGGTATTAAATGGAATTATGCCCTAGTTTTGTGTTTATTTATTATTTTAAAGAACAAAGTTTATCAGGGCTGTTTTAATGTGTGACTCTCCAAACAAACAAATGTGCATCCCAGTTGCAAGAACATCCAGGTAAATGTCTTTGTTTTGGAAAACTGATATGTTTAGTTTGCAATTCATATAAAACAGAAGATCCTTTCAGTCAAGAACTATGGGACTGTAATTGCCGTTTAATGATTTGTCTATTGACTAATCATTCAACACTTTTGACCACCTGCAGGTGTGACTCTCAACACATCTACTTGTTTGTTAAGCTGACAGCTCACTGTAATATGGGTCAACATGAGAACTTATTTATTTATCTTTGGGTTATAATGAGATGCCTTTGGGGAAACAGACACACTCTCCAGACAAACTCAAACGCAGTCACTCACTCTTTTTTCCATGAGTATGCTATTCAAACAACATGGCTACAGTTACCGGGGCCGGTTGTTGGAGCAGTTTGAAAAAGGCACATTTATCTGATTTTAATGTTGAGCATTTGTGAATTTTCCTGTCGAAGTCATTATGTCATCTTTACTAACACTGAGCCCACTGTTGAACACATTCATTATCATCCAAAGAATTTCCATATTTTAAAAACATCCACCCGTCTGTGCAGTACCTCCCTGCCCGTTGGACAGGTGCTCTCACCTGGGGATGAACTTGGCCTGCTCGCCCAGCCTCCTCTCGAAGTTCTCCCAGGCGGCGGACCCGTCTCCTCCGTCGGACTCCATGTCCTCTCCGTAGCGGTCGTAGAAGCCGCTGATAAACTCTGGCAGGGTGACGGCTCCGTCGTTGTCCACGTCCAATCTGTTAAATATCTGGTCAGCCTCCGCCTGGGACACCTCCAACTCCGCACAGATGTTGAGGAACTCTCCTCTCTCGATCTGCCCGGAGTTATCCAAGTCGTAGGCGTGGAAGAGGGACCGCAGCCGGGACTGCTCCTCCGCGTTCATGCCCCCGGCGGAGGGATGTGGCCGGCTGGAGAACAGAAGGCGTTTCAGTGAATGTATGAGACCCGAGAAAGCCTTCAGTAACGGTCTGCCAACGATTTATTCTCGGGACACCTGCAAAAAGTAATTCCCGACTTCCAGACCTATCCAAACATTTCGACAGCTGTTATGCATTAACAACAAGTATAATCTAATTTAACCGCTCAATTAATCAAATGTGGGCTCCTGTGTGGTCTTCAAAACATAATTCCCCGGGTTGTTGCAGCCATTCACCAGCTCGACAGACAGAAAGCTGCTGTGTGACTCAGGTAGCACGCCAGCCATTAGTGACCGTGTAGTGTGTGCGTGTGTGTGTGTGTGCGTGCGTGTGTGCGTGTGTGTGTGTTCTCTTTCCCTCTCTCTCTCTCTCTCTCTCTCTCACCTCAACAATAGAGGAAGTCTGGGCTTCTGGCCAAATGAAAGTGCTTTCATTGTGGAGAAAGGCTAATAGTCTGTGATGTTGAATCAACTTTAGAAATTATAGTATCAGAGATTATTCAACCTGTACCATCTCAAGTACATTTCTACCTGAGACGTATGAATACACGTTGACACACACAATCTAGCAAAGTGCATGTCCAATAAATATATTTAAATTTAAATGTAATTAAATGACTTTAAAAGTCACACTACAGCTCTCTCTAGTGGCAAGTTTATATGTGATCAGTTAATTAAATTGTGTTCATGTAATCAATCATGTAATATCTTGCAAAACATGACAGCTTTATTATATACAGTACCAGTCAAAAGTTTGGACACACTTTCTCATTCAATGGTTTGTGTTTATTTTAAATTGTTTCTACTTTGTAAATTAATACTGAAGACATCAAAACTATGAAAGAACTATATGGAATTATCTAGAAAAAGTGTTAAAAAATCCAGAATATGATTTTTATTTTAAATTCTTCAAAGTAGTCCCCTTTTGCCTTGATGACAGCTTTGCACACTCTTGGCTTCTCTCAGTCAGCTTGATGAGGTCGTCACCTGGAATGGTTTTCAATTAACACGTGTGCCTTGTCAAGAGTCATTTTGTGGAATTACTTGCCTTCTTAATGTGTTTGAGGCCATCAGTTGTGTTGTGCAGAGGTAGGGTTAGTGCACAGTGGAAAGCCCTATTTGACTACTGTTCGTCCCCTTGTGTGTTATGAAGGTTTTTATGCATGTAAACGGTATGCAGAGTCAAAAACCCTCAAAGTACACCCTGTAGCGAGTAAAACTCTAACACAGAAAAGACCTCCCCAAAACGCCTCGTTGGGAATTTCTCATTTACTTCCTGGGTATCGCTACGTAGGGATACCCAGTAGCCACGCCCAGAGCTATGGCCGCACACTCTGCCAGCCTTTCACGAAACAAAGCTTCCCAAACCTTTCAGCGATTCATGCCGGATATGTACTGAAGAACGATGCTGTTCCTACTTTGTTTGGACCAGCGGGAGATTCGGGTACACAACCTGTAAGTATTCATTGTTGTTTGTGTATTTATGATGTTTAAAACAAACAAGGTATCTACCACGACTGTTTAAATGGGTAAACGTTTTTCGGGCTGCTAAGTTGGGATCGCGAAGAAATGCTCTCCGCAGACCCATTCTCACAGCGTTATAAACCTTTTTCTTACTCAATATCAAGCCACACTTATTGTTTTTACTTCGGCTGTGAGTGTTTGTGTGTGCTCAGGATGAGTTTCGTATCTGTATTGCCTACACGGAAGCCCTGTCTGCTCAGCTGCACATCGCGTGACCAATCAGAGCACACTGGGCTCACAGGGAGGGGGGGGCAGGTGCTCCAACAAGCCGTTTAGGACAGAGAGTGAATACCGGTGAATACACATACTTTACAGAGATGCTGTATGAGAAACCAATGTGAGTTTGGAAAATTGCTCAGTATAAATCTATTTTAGTATACCTCAACAATGGAATTATGATCAGTAGAAATGGCCATGACATGGGACCTTTAATAAATAAAGGCCAGTCGACCGGAAAATGTCAAAAACTTTGAATGTATCCTCAAGGGCAGTCGCACGAACACTATGATGAAACTGGCTCTCATGAGGAAGACCAAGAGACACCTCTGCTGGAGAGGATAAATACATAAGAGTTACCAGCCTCAGAAACCGCAAATTAAAGCACCTCAGAATAGAGCCCACATAAATGATCACAGAGCTCAAGTAGCAGACAATCTCAGCATCCACTGTTCAGAGGAGACTGCGTGAATCAGGCCTTCATGGTCCAATTGCTGTAAAGAAGCCACTACTGAGGATGAACAACAAGAAGAAGAGATTTTTCTTTTTTTTGTGAGACGCAGAGAAGGTGAGCGGACGGTTTCTGCATGTGTGGTTCCCACTGTGAAGCATGAAGGAGGAAGTGTGATGGTGTGGGGGGGCTTTGCTGGTGACACTGTTGGTGATTTATTCAAAATTCAAGGCACACTTAACCAGTATGGCTACCACAGCATTCTGCAGTAGCCAGCAAAATATAAATCATATTCTGGATTTTTTAACACTTTTTTGTTTACTAGATAATTCCATATGTGTTCTTTTATAGTTTTGATGTCTTCAGTATAAATCTACAATGTAGAACAAATAAAAATAAATACAAAACTTCGAATGAGAAGGTGTGTCCAAACTTTTGACTGGTAGTGCATACATATATTATATATATATATATATATATATATATATGTATATATGTATTATATATAGATAGGAGAAACAAAAGTTCTGCACTCCTGCTTCAAAAATTCACGTACAAAGAAAAAACCCCAACCTTCATGTTATGTCGTATTATCTGTGATCAATCATTCCTTGCACTGCAATACATTTTCTTTATTTACATGCATTTGTTTAAAAACAAAGACATGGCTCAGATATCTCACCTGGATATCACCTGTTCCGTGTTGTTTGAAAACTCTTCTTCACCTCCTGGGGACTTGTTGTCATCTGTTTCTGTGTCATCTTCTTCTTCCTCCTGATGTTGTTCTATGAAGCCACTGATGAACTCCTCCAAGGTGACTGTGCCGTCTTTGTCCACGTCCAGGCGGTTGAATATGCCGTCTGCTTCTTGTGATGGGACATGGAGCTCCTGACAGATAGTGGTGAACTCATTTTTTTCTATCCGCCCTGAGTTATCCACATCGTAGGCGTGAAAAAGTGAACTCAGGCGCCTTTGTTCTTCCTCATTCATGGCCCTTGGTGATGCCATAGTTTGTCTTCAATATCCTTGGTTAGAAAAATAGTAACAGTACCAACTGTAGGTCAAATATTTGGATTCAAAATACAAGGCAGCTGCTAGGTGGAAGAAAGTACAACATGCTGCTCCATTTGAACAAACCCCATTGCTGAAAGATTAGTCCAAATAATCCTTCCACCACTTTTATATAGTCCAACCTCCTCTATCTTTTTATGTTTTTGACACGTGGATACTCCTGACGTTACCACTTTTTTTGGAAGACTTAAAAACTGTGTTACAAATGCTGCTAAAGCCATGACTGGCATCAAAGTGCAGGAAACCCTCCAGGCGAGGCAACAAGAGGAACATAATATTGTGGCCAGGATATGCAGGATCATTTCGTTTTTCATTTCAAAATACTGGTCAATAAGTAAATACCATATTTCATTTTTGGATTTTTTTACCTGCATTTGTATGGCATGTTTGTCTTTATATGTGGATAGTTCTTTGATTACTTGCATGTGCTGTGTGTGTCCGTCCAGTTGTGTGCAGATGTTTGTATGTGAGTCAGGGCAGAGGGTAATCTTTGAGAGATGCAGCATGCACCTTTAACCTAAAGAAACAGACACATGTAGTCAGCAAATAAGAGTGCTATATGTTGTTGTTGTTGTTGTTGTTGTTGTCTTTAAAATGATTACAAAGAGGAAGGGCCTGCTTGCTTGGGCTTCAAAATCATGAACAAGGTACAAGGTGTCAATTTGTGTCAAAGCTGACCAATCAGAGGCAATGAGGACTTTTTACCCATAATTAATACAGAAACGGTACAAGCAGTTAAATCAGAGGCCCTTTCTATTTCTAGGAGCTTGTACAATATGCTAATTATATTATTATTTATCTCAATAACAGGGTGTCACTGCTCTGACTTACTCTTCCCTTCAGTTACACCGTATGTAGCTACTTTACTGTCATATGTTTTATAGACATTGACAGCAGGCAGATGGATTCAGGATGTTGGTTCAATAAATTCACATTGTAAATAGAAAAGTATAAAATGCATCCCATCTCATCCTACTTGAAGTATTTCCTGCTTTTTACCTTCCAAGTGAAATATGTATACGTATTTACCTAACCTAGTTATTAAACACAGGCATAGCAATGGCTTATTATTTAGGAGGATATCATCCATTCTGACCACAACACTGTAAAGTCATGTGGTGACAAAAATCCCCAAACTTCCACCAAATGTCGACACATTACAGTGTATCTTAAACTCTGAATTATTAATAAAGTAACCCCACAAAACTGAAATCTCTAGAAAGTTTCTACACAAAGTAAAAAACGTCTCCAGCCTACAGGCGGTGAGGGACAGGCTGCTTCAGATTTACAGACACAGACTGCGAGGACGATGTCAACACACAGCTTCGTCAGGTCTGAGTTTTCAATCCTGAGATCCTTCCCTGATGAGAGAAAGGTTTCCTGTTTAGTGTGTAAACCTGTTTTGGTGATTCAAAACTTTGCCTCTGACTGACCTACAGTGTTTAGAGAGCATGTGATGGTGCAGGTCTGGGTTATCTTACTGTATGTTTGTCCAGGGAGTGGTACAGTACACCGACGCAATGGAAGTATTTACATCATGAGAACACACCATGTGCTGACACACACACACAGAAATCGTACTTGGAAATGTTCAGGACATCACGTGTCCTTACTGTTAAACAGCTAAAAGCTACTTTCTATACCCCCTTATTATTGCTGTGACTTTTTTTTATCGTGTCTTAAAGGGGACCTCTCATGCAAAATGCACTTTGTGATGTATTTTATACATAAATATGTGTCCCCGGTGTGTCAGGGAACTCACGCAGCGTCAGAAAATAAAACCCTCTCTCTTTCCCTCCGTACCCAAATCTTTTAAAAACGGGTGTACAACGAGTGGATACAGATTTGCTGCCGATATGACGTCAAATCGGCGGCGGACCCACAGAAAGTTGCTATCAGAAACAATGCCTGACGTGTTTTGGACGTAATCTCGTCTTTGTTGACATTAGCAAGTCTCGCTAACACTCAGAGCTAACCTGTACTAGAGCACATGTGTTTAAAAAGCAGGAAATAAAAAAAGGAACTCACCTTGTGATAAACCCGCAAGAGAAAAAGCATTTGAGCTCCATACTGTTTCAGAAATAATCTTTGATGTGGTTTAAACAGGATGGCGTTTTATCACAGCAGAATTGAACTTTATCTCCGTTAGAATTCTGATCAGGCATTAGCTCCGCCTCCTCTTTTTTCTTTTTTTCAAGCTAAGGACCCAAAATCCGCGTTTCTCTAATGGCGCAGTTCCACTGCAGCACGGAGCTCGCTTTAAGCGTGTCGTGTCGTGCCGTCCCCTTTTTTGGTTGTGCTTCCACTAGGCCTAGTTCCGGCGCGGCACGGCGCGGGGCCACTTTTTCACCTCTTTTCTGGCCCTAGAAAATTGTGGTTCTATCGGGGCCAACAAACAGGGCTGAGTCGGGCTGAGTATGCTAAACTAGAGAGAGGAGCGCTGGCAAGAGGGCTAGAACTACAACAAGATGGACATATTTGACCGTGATTTAATTGTAATACACGTTTCAAAATGATGCCGAAGTAACAACATACTGATACCGGTTAGTAAAAACCATGAATTAATGCTTTGTCAAGTCTGCAGACAGACGGCAGGCGAAAAACCTTTTAAAATGCGTGTTTTTCTAGATGGAGATTGGCTAAGCTAACGCAGTATATGCTTTGACCGTCCACACTCACAACAACGGCCTATACAGACATAAATAAAGCAGCGACTGTATTCACCATGACACAGGCAGTCTGTGGTGTGTACTTGTTTAACTTTTGTCGAGTTTCTGAACATATATAAGGAGCTGTGAGCTCTGAGTGCTAACAGCTAACGGCTGTGTTGTGTTTCTGGAGTTCTCAATGAAGATGACGTCACGGCTCCGCCTACACTGCGTTACTATAGTAACTACCCCAGTTCCTAAACTGTAATGGAAGCGCAGCATGAAGTGAGTCGGCCCTGTTAAGGCCCAACGCGGCCAAGCCGTACCGAGCCGTACCGAGTGTGGCCGAGGCCGACCGTGTAGTGGAAATGCGCCATAACAGGGCTGCAAAAGAGGGGTATGAGCAGTATGAGGCATGGCTACAATGGGTGATCTGTTTGGTATTTTAAGCAAAAAACATGTTTTGTATAGGTATGGCCCTACAATATATTTTTCCAATATAGCATAATAGGTCCACTTTAAAGGTGGGGTAGGTAAGTTTGAGAAACCGGCTCGAGATACACTTGTTGTTATATTCCATGGAATGCTCTTAACATCCCGATAGCAATGAATATCTTAAGTGTTTTGACAAAAAATCCATAAAAAAAATTCATCTGTGGAAGCCGTAGTACTGTAAAAAGCACGACCAATCATTTTAGCCGGCCCGGCTAAAATAACTGGATGGCCTACCTGCCTGTCAGCCTTCCATCTGTGCACAAACTTATCTCGTGCCCTCATTGGTCATGTGCGCGTTCGTGTGTGTTGGAGGAGGGGCTCTGTAAGGAAGTGGGAGATTTTTTCCGGCTGTGTATTTTCAAATTCTAGCACACTCGAGCTGGTTTCTCCAAAATTACCTACCCCACCTTTAAGTATTGGCTGATGCTCATAAACAATTTTTTTAATCTCTTTCTGATTTGTGTGCAGCAGGCGGACTCACAGAGTGTGTCATTGGTGACCTGCAGCTCTGTGAACAGATCTCTGTGAGGCATCAGAGAAGATGTTTAGTCACACTTCATCAGACCTCACACTTCATCAGGCAGAAACAACCAGCGGACACACACAGGGACACCTGCTGGCTTACAGGAGTATAACAACACATTATGACTAAAACAAAAATATATTGAAAATCAAAGCCTTCTCTTTTAAATTCTCTGCTACAAATTCTTATGAAAAACTTCAATGCAATTGGATTGTAATGCATTTGATCAAAATGATCATAATGCATGTAGATTAACAATATTATATGACGAAAAGGGCAAGAATTAAGATTTATTACGCTGTATTTTTCAGTGTGTTTACAATTCCCTGCACCTGTAAGGGTAAACAAAGAGTTAAGTATTAATATTCTGTTAGGCGTTAAGAGTTATGATTTTAAGGCTCGAAATTGAAATAAATTATTAGATGTTATTTAAAAATACTTTCATAAGACCTTTCTGACTCCTCCATCCATCTTTTATCTTTGACACTTGTGACAAACTCTTTAATATAAAACTTAACTCTTTTTGTAACATGCTCCAAAAACAGAAAGTCTTAACCTTAAGATAAGCATAATGAGCACAGTTTTACTAAGAAAAATGATTAGTACAAGTACACACACAGAACTCGTTCTCTAGCTCTACTAAAAATCCCCTTTATCTTATGACTTGCTGCTGTATCCGATTAAGTGTGAAAAGAATTTCAAACAAAGATCCCTTGAATGAAACAGAAGCAAATCTGTGATTAAATGTAGCCGTTCATATGACTTGTTAGTGAATTTGCTAGTTACATTTCATGAACTTACATTTAATGGAGAAGTAAAACAGTAAGATATTCCAAAATGTTAAGTTTTTTCATCAAGCTAACGGTCGTGTAAAATGATCCACACATTAGGCGCCTTATTTCAATATATATTCATTAGGGAGCTTTATTGTGGCAGTATTAACATATAAAACAATTCATGTTTTCTTTTATAACATACAAACATTCAAAATGTTCACTACACAAAGTTCATAAGGCTTGGTTGTCCCAGAAGAGAGGGAGTCATTACTTAGGGATTTTTTTTCTTATTCTTCTTAAATTAAATCTCCCAGAGTTTCTTTTAGAGACTTAATGACAAAAATAAATAAAAATAAATTATCTGACTGACCGTTAGAACAAAAAATCATTTGACTAACGTCCAAAAACAACAAAGTGACCGTGCAAGAGAATCTGCTACTGTACATGCCCACACAACACTGAAATAACATAATAAACAACAGCTTATTTTTATCTTATACCATGTGATGTCCAATAGTTTTGCATATAGTAGACCTGAGTTCAAATATTTAAAATCTTAAATAAATTCATCAAAAGCAGAATGTGTGTATTGGGTTCAAATAGCGTTGAATTCTGAGTGTAGTCTGTAAAGCATTTAGTTTAATTTCCACTGATAATTAAAGGCAGGTTATTACATTTAAGGTTTGTAAATACTTGACTCATGTCAGGAACTCAGTACTTATACCTCAGATATGACATCAACTGGTGTGTGAACTTAGTGATGTTTTAATCACAGTTTTATGTAAGCACAGGCAACAGAAGTTGTACGCTCGGTCCGTCTATAATATGCTGTAAAACACAGAAACTCAAGTAGCTCAAAACAAGAGCTGAATCTCAAAGGAGTAAAATTCCCCTTTAAACTCATAAAGGCTAAACTGAAAACATGAGCTACAAACTAATCAAATGCTACGGTGTCATGTGGGGCCAAAGATCTGTTTTATCACAGAAAGACCTTTTGTTGTTTGCAATGAGTTTAGGTTGAAAGTGAACATCTTTACAAGTAATGATTTAAAATGAATTCAATTGATTCAGATAATAGCATGCTCCGTTAGCAATGAGGTGCAGGTGTTAGCATTTAGCTTCTGACTAAAAGGATTTACGCACACAGCAAAAGCACAATTAACGAACTAGTCAAATATTTGAGATCTGCTCTTTAAGAGATGGTAAAAAATGTTTTCCAAGCAAACAGCATTTTTGTGCTGAGACACATTTTTTTGGGTTGATTAACTGAGAGGAAGCTAACAGAATAAGCAACCACATGTATTCAGTCTTGTCAATTCAATTGTTAAAATGAAGAAAACCCACACTGCATGACGTGTTTTCTTTTTTTTAAATGAGGTCACAACATTTTAAAATGACCTCCTCTCAGTAAAACAGAGAGAACATGCATTTGTCTACGATGGTCAAGACAGCCAAGCCTAAATCTAGATCGCTTGATATGGACAAGACACGCAGAGGGAAGAAAGAGAGGATTTTTTTTGCCACAACTATAAACACAGTATTTACAGATGAAGGCATGCCGTTTGCATTGAGAGGTCAGAGTGAGATACCCTGGGTTAGCTGTGTGATGATGAAGCACAGAAATAAAGGACCAAAGCCAGAACGCCATTTTTATACAGCTGTGTACATGAAGCCTATACAGAAGAACTTCTATTTCAAATCTACTGGGAATATCTGAAGCATTTTGGTGCATGTGCATAGCGGATGAGCAACAGTTAAATATGAAGACGGGATGATAGTTCACAATGCTATCCCACTTTGTTAGTTATCATGGGATGGTGGTATTATTTAGCAGTGCATTCAGATCAGCTTCACCCACTACAGTGAAACTCAGAGTCTTGATAGTGGTTTGGCCCTTTGCTTGGTTTCAGTAGTGATACTCCGTGAATATGCTGCAATAGGAAAATAAATACTTTGTCCCAAGTTAGCTTGTTTCTGTTGTTACTGCATATTATCTATATGCATAAAGCTTGTTGATGCATAAGGTTCACACAGCTACACAACAACACAGCTGATCATATGAGGCAGAGATATTGTTTGGGTTCAAATGAGAGGGTTTTGATGGTGATGTGCACTGCAGAGGCCTCTGTAGCAGTTGAGATTGTGGAGATATTCTGAAAATAAAAGTATGAGTTCAGCTTTTTAAGAGCCTCAAACAGTGTTGAGAAAGAGATCAAGACTCATGTTGCTACTCCTGTTTTGATCAGCTTAAATGAATAGATAAAGCAGTACAGAGCTTCAGCTATGATGGTCAAACTGCACTGGCTCTCAACAGTAAATACTTTTTAGGTAATATGTTTGGATGCATATGACATGGAGTGTAGTGTTGCTACAATAACACAGACAATCTGCAGCTGTATTTATGTCTAGCTACAGACTTGGTAAAAAGACATAGTGTTTATATATTCAAAATAGCATAATGCAAGACATGTACTGTATGAATGCTAGGCATAAACTATATGCTGTGATTAGATGTGTTTTTCCTTTCTTTTTTTAGACATATAATTGTTATTTTGAACATAAACTGCTAATGCCCTTTCCTGAGAAATGTAATTCAAATCGAACTACATTTCAAACAGAACTTATTTTTTCTTTTTTTTGCATCTGTTTTCATTTGATCTGAAGTAACTCTCATCGCTGTAACTCTCTGTTTCTTCTCCATGCAGAGCCAGGACACTGTTACTGACAGGCACTGTCGGATTGAAACAAAACCACTAGTACAGCCTTTAGTTCCCAAAATTGAAGTTTCTACTTTTAGAGATTTTAAAATAAAACCTTTTCAGTATCTTTGATGGCGCTGCTCCAAATTCCTTCACACAGAAACACCCTTGTGTGTGAACACATCTATGTCTTCAAAACCAGAATCTTATTCTTCAAACATCTTGTTCAAACATCCTCCCCATCTAAAACTCCAGATAACTTGTTAGTGACTTACACCAAAATGATAGAAATGTATGTATTCTGTTTAAGGGTATAAACAGTTGCGGTCATTTAAATTATGCTCAGCATGATGTTCTCTCAGATCTTCTTTAATAATGGCTACAAATCATCTCTAATTTGATTTAGTGATTAAAATACTAAAATGAAATACCTGCCACTGTAGTCCGGCACCAGATTAACACCATCAGTTTTCCAATCATGTGTCACATATGAGCAGTATATTTGGAATACACAAACATTTTCCTCTGGGAATCTTAAGTGTACCATCATCACTTTGAATCTGAGACGATCACAGAGCTGTCCTAACAGTAGCCTCCCATGGACTGAACAAATGACCCCAAATCTCGATTAGACCCACCTTTACTCACACATAACTTTTCATCACAAGCCTACAGGTCACCTTGTCCTTCTTTAGCATTTTTTAAATACTTTTATGTTCAAACTGACTTAAAACACACTGAGGGATGCACTACTACTGACTTAACATGTAGTTCAGAAGACATTTAAAAGTTCAACAAAACACAAGTTTTATCATGACGAACAGAAAGTTTCTCTCCTCTGTTGCCCTCCCACTTCCAAAATGACATCACGTAATCTGAAACAGTTTTAATCTGTGATCTGTGTAAAAGATTTGTGCTATAGCCTCTGTAGGAAAACTCCAGGGAGCTACGGAGGCAACAAATGCTGACAGTACTCTTAAAAAATATCTTAAATTTCTCAACGCCCATCACCCCGATAAACTTTTATAAATGTGTTTGTTTTTTTACTCTTTTGTAAAGTCTTAATTTCAAAATAAACTCAAAGTAGATCCTCTGACTGAAAAATTCCTGAAAGATCTGGATCACATAAAAATGTACAAAATGTTAAAAACAACTTATTTAAGATTGGTTTTATATTCTGAATATTACTCTTTTGTTTTTAAATATATATATAATGTACCTCTGACTGTGGCTTTTGTTGCGTTCAGTGACAAATCAACAATTTCTCTCCCCCGTCCACTCCGTCATGACTGACAGGCTCGGTGACCAATCAGGTGCTCCATTCCGAGGGCGAGAACCAATCAGAATGGTTTGTCATATTTACCAGAGTCATTGCATCAGCTAGTCAGCATCAGGAGTGAACAGACCTTTAAAAACAGTACCAACCATTTGTGTCCTGCATGCTTCTCTGCATCTTTTTATGAGTTTATCTGTCCATGACTTCCCTTATTTTCATTTTCATAAAAGTCTCCCTTTTGCACGTTTGTCTTTGAAAACTTGCAGCATTTCTTGTCCTTTCTTTTCTGTTTATCACTGCCAAAAGTGTCTTAACAAGTGATTGGATCCCAAGATTAAAATGTTAGTTCTCTATTACTCTTTTTTGTTCAATAAACTTAATTATGCTGCCAAAGGGGTGAAACAAATCTACTTGTTTCTGTATTATTCAATTTGGAAACAATGTATTATAAAAGGCATGACAGTACATCTTTATCAGGCCTTTTTTACAAGACAACCTACAGCCCTCATCAAAGATCCATTGCACCTGCTCAAAAAATAGGTCTGAAACAAGTGAAATAATTTCATCCATTTGGCAGACTGGTTCAGTTGTTGTAACTGAATTTAAGATTAAATGACATGTTAAGACAGACATTTGGCCACATGTGTTTCCCCCTGCAGTGACTCCTCTAGCTCCTCAGTCTGACCACAGGTTCTCCATGGCCATGCTGATCCTGCACAGGATCCAGCGCCGGAGCGGGCAGTAGTACTCGTAGTGAAACTGCTCAAACTCCGGCGTCTGGCGGATCTCATGGAGGAACGACACGTCAATGTCAGACTCCAGCAGCAGCAGCAGAGTGGGCACAGTGACAAGCAGCACGCCCATGACAACGGCAACAAAGCGGGCCACGCTCAGCATGCAAGCATTGACTCTCTCATTGGACGACAGTAGGCGCAGGCTGCTGGTCAGGACCCCCCCCATCCGACTCCTGGTAGCCAGACGGGTGCGCTCATAGGCCCGGTCCCGCTCCCTGTCGGCCTCCAGCTGGGCCTGGATGTCGGGGTCTGCATGGAGCTCCCTCAGCATCCGGGCGGGGCTCTGCACCGGGGAGGAGAAGAGCAGGTCCACCCCTCCCTGACTGTCCTCCACTGGGGTGGGCAACATGCTGGCACAAGGGCTGCATGGGGAGGGGAGATATTTGAAGAAAAAACAATGTTATTGTAAGTAGGATTGAACCAGGGCCAAACAAGAAGAATAAGGGAAGTTAAAAAAATTGTGATTTTGGAGCAGGCCTTTTTTTGTTGTTGCAATATCAAAGGTAGGTTTTAAATCGTAAGCGAGACAAGCACACATATACTGTACTGTACATGTTGCTACAGAAATGCCAGAATCAAAACACATTGCGAGGCAAGTCAGGCCAAACATCCGGGATATATAAAGAGATGCCAACCACTTTTGTGCTTTGTTTCAAATTCAAACTTGAGGAATGCAATCTGTTCATAGCTGTGGTGTTTATATGTTGTACACAGCATGTACCTGAAATGCAACATATCTAGTGTGACTCACTGTTTATCTATTAAAAGGGGGTATTTGTATTAACTCTTCCATCTAACTATTTCATTGGAAACAGCTTCCTGCTTTAGCCAAAAACGATGGTTATGGAGGCAGTTAAAAACAATGAGCTGAAAGAGAAGACTCGTATTTCATTATAGCTCTGTTACAAAAATTCTATAGACCTGTAGGCAAGCTCAGAAATGGTCAGTGGTCCGCTGGCGTCATCGTCTTCCTCCACTTCATCTTCAGCTTTGGGCGTGTGAGGTCGGTGATTTGAGGTTTCCATGGAAACACGGGGAGGCTGCAGGTAATTTCTTCTCTCAGTACTTTGCTGCTCTGCGTCTGGCGGAGCAGGTGAGGGTTCGAGAGGAGACAACAGGACAGAGTCCTTCACAGCAACAACAGCTGAGGAGGGAAAAACAAACAGGTCTTACATTACATTTATACAAAAATCAGTTTGGAGATAACTTGCGAATGTAGTCTCCCAACAAGTTTCCCATGAGAAAGCAACATGAAATTACATTCATCACACGAGTCAGACTGAAGAACATTCATACAACTGCTAATGTTTTTATATACATATTTATTTATATATATTTAAGTCTTATTTTATCTTTTATATACATTTATATTTTATATATATTAATTATTGTTTCTAGCAAGAACAGTTAATATTAAAATTGTTATACGCTATTAGTAATACTTTTTCTACGTTGTCCCTCTTCCATTTTCCATACTTTAAACTATTCCAATAATATAAAGCATAAACTACAACTGTTGTTGATAGTTTGCTTTCTTGTGTCTGTTAACAGCATGGAGAAAATATTAAACCGTCACACGTCTTATTTTTTTTCTAAACTAGATCCTTAGCTCAAGCTTTGTAGGATCTAGTTTAGAAAAAAAATAAGACGTGTGACGGTTTAATATTTTTAATGTTATATGATTGTTTATTTCCAATCCTAAATATATCAATATCAAACAAATATGTTCTCAAGTAATATCTATATGTATTTGTATTGGAGCTGTTGACAGCATCTCTACCTTAATCACTTTTTCCAAGTATGAGTAGTTTTTGGCACATCACGTTCATGAATGTGTCACAAACACAAAGCAGTTATTTTGTATGTAACTGGGACAAGGAGCCACTTTCAGAAGTACATTTTTAAGCTGCAGTTGTACACAGTAGCCACAGGATGGCAGTCCTGTATTTGTTATGATAGAGAACCCACATATATCAACCTTAATACTGACATGTTAAATGAAAAATCTATTAACACTCAACCTTGATGAAATCCCGCAAATGTGAGAGGAAATAATACTGTAGGTTCACAGCAACTTGGTTATTTATATAACTGTACTCATCTGCTTGGCTCCGAGAGAGTGCCGCAGCTTTAAGTCATCACATTTGGCAGAGGACATTCACTGTGAGTGTGAGTAATTCAGCTCAGGCTGTGAATTGACTCCATTATACTGCTTTATCTGTTTTGTGCACACACACACACACACACACACACACACACACACACACACACACACACACACACACACACACACACACACACACACACACACACACACACACACACACACACACACACACACACACACACACACACACACACACACACACACACACACACTATTGAAACATCTCAGACTCATGCCACGTTTGTTTGAGCGTCAAGGACAAGCGGACTAATCAGTTACCATGCCAACTGATTCAACAATGAGTTAAGAGAAATCAAAGAAAGACAGAGATGGAGTGAGCGAAAAACTAGATGAGCGAGGGGTGACAGCTACCATGGAAACAGAGTCAGCAAAAAATGCAACAAGTGCATGGACTCAGACCTGAAATAAGAGGAGCAACTCAACACAGAAGTGAGGAAGCTGGTAGTAGTAATTGAACATTGCTTGTTGCTGTTCAAATACATTGTCATTTTAATTATTAATTAAAAAGCAATAACTAAAACAGAATACAATTATAAGAATTCATTAGATACACAACTCCTTTTTGCCAACTGAAACAAAAAGCTGAAACCTCAAAACACAGATGAAAATAATCCTGATCCCTCCATCATCTGCTGCCTGTGCGTGAGGTGTGTGCTGAGAGCCGATCACATGACACTGCGTGAGCGGCAGGCTGCCAGTCAATCAAATGTTCAAACCTACGGGCAATTTGGAGTTGTTTACCTAACATGCATGTCTTTGGACGGTGACTGTGGGCGGAAACAAGGGCAGCCCTTTCAGGTGGGCAGGTTAGAATAATTAGGGGCTTTAAGTTGCCTGTGGTGTGAATGTGAGTGTGTGTCTGTGTCAGCCCTGTGATTGACCCGTACAGGGAGCACCCCGCCTCTGAAGCACCCTGCGACCCTCATGAAGAAGCGTTTAAAGCTTGATGGAATAAAAAACTGAGAGAACAAAGAGGAAACTGTTAAGGTTCACCTCCAGGGGTAAGAAAACCCTATTCAAAATCCCATTGCCCTTTGGACCTACTATGATAACACAAAATACAGAATTGTAACTAACTTTCTGTACAGTTTATGTGTCTCACTTCCTATGTCTAGCCAAGGGCTTTTCTTTTTAAACAATCTTATATTGTTTATTTCATATTTAGGTTTGTTGTGGCCTTAAACTAATACCACACTAGACATGTGAAAAACATCTAGGGGTTTCTGCTAGCTCAGACATGTTATAATTAATTCATAATTAATTAAAAACAGCAGCACAGAAAAAGTCCTGAAGAATGTAGGTTTCATACACAGCAGATATTTCAACAACATTTTAGAGACATTTATTTAAAAGAGGGCGTTCATTTAGAAAACCATGGTAAGATGAAGTTCCCAAACTGCCGTGCTTCGTGCTCTTAAAACACGTTATTGAATTTAGTTAAAAATAATTAATTTTGACGCTCAGAAGATTATTTACGTTTGTATATACATCCCTATGTAAACCTGAGCTCACAAGAATAAACTGTGTTGTTCGAAGGAACACACAACAACAAAGTAACTCTGCTGCTTCTGTTTCACATTTCTAATAGTGTCTGCTTTCTGTCCTGTTAGCTCATATACAGGCCTCTCCTCAGAAGAGGTGATTCACACCACAAGGCGCTAGATTCCTGTGTGGCCAGCGTACACACAGAGTAGAAGTGTTGACAGACCTATTCATCTCGGTCATGCAACCTCATCATCCACACCCAAACACCTCCAAAGTATATTTATCTGTGCAATTGTGCATGGGTGCAAGAATAGCGGCATCCTTTACTCTGTGTTGTTTGTTTGCTCAGCTCTTCTCTTTGTCAGTTTGATTCCTCAACTCATGCAACTGAAGCAACACACAAGACCACTGATACTCAGGAGAGCCTAAATATTTGATTTAACGCTGACGCCTCTTACTAAGAGGGAATAACCTCTTATGTCCTCTGTGTACAGTTTCAGGTGAAACAGGATCCACTGTAAAGCATCACTGCTAAACCATGATGAAGATTCAGTTTCGGGTCAAGGACACTTCAGCAGGATGGAGATACGCCTTCACAATGAGGCCAGTAAGTGAAGGGGCACCCTGTTGTCCTTATCTTTATGTCAACATATTCCTTAAAAATAGTCTAGTTACCAATCTTCTTTATATGAAATGATCACTATTAAATAAAAATTGCATCGAAAAAGTCAGTATTCAGTCATCAAAACACTCTTCTCTGCAAAGGTTCATTAAGTGGACAATTAGGCTTATACCCAGTAACATTTTAAAGGGTTTGTTGGCCCCTGTTGGACCTGTCCACTTTGTTTCATGATAATCAGGCCAGTAGTTTTTCCGTAATGCTACTGACAGAAAGCCATAATGAAACGCTAACATTCTTGATAAGGCTTTAATCTTAAATGTGCCATTCCGTTTGCCTTTGTGAAACTACCCAAAATGTCTAGTTGTTTTTTACAGAAATAATTTTGTAGAAGCTCTCTCTGTGGTGTCCCATTCAAACCTTTCATTCACAAATCTACCATGCAAATATTCCAAACTCCCTCAACCCTTAGGTCTGTTGTTTGATGACAGGTGTGTTTGCTGACTTTTAACACTAAGAGGACTATATGTGGTTACTTCACACACACACACACACACACACACACACACACACACACACACACACACACACACACACGCACGCACGCACGCACGCACGCACGCACGCACGCACGCACACACACACACACACACCCACACACACAAAAGTGGTCTCTTGACAGTCTAAGGTCTATGTTTGACAGATTATAATCGTAGGGAACCAAGCGGTTGCCACAACAAACCTAGCATCCCCTCTACTGGGCTGAACCGGCTCATACAATTACTACAAGTTTTAAAATAGCAGTGTAATCTAGTTTTCACATAATGTATTGAATTAAAAGAAATGTCAATGATACTTCACTGAATGCCAGTGAACTTTACTAAACCACGAGAGAAAAGACGCACTATAATCATCTTGAACGTATCTTGATGAACTTCTGACACATATTTCTGCCTTTGCTTCCCAATCTTACTCTGTTCCAGTGTATTTCTCGGAAGTCCAGTACTTATCCCGGCGATGCGTCCCCCATGTCCCACCAGCCGTACGTATACATCCCGGGCCGTGTGATTGGCTATACGCAGATGCAGGCTCCTTCGTGTTGTAATCTTCACCTGGCACCTCAAGGCCTCAGACACTACTATCGATGAATCTCGTTCGTCCACAGACTCCCCGGGGTGGTAAACTTCAAGAGGTCCGGCCTGTCCCTCCTCCATCCCCTCACCCTCACCCTCCAGCCTCTCTGGGATCATGTCCAGCCCGAGTCCTGCTGCCCTGCCCTGGCTCCCGCAGCTCAGGGGGTCGCCTACGTTGGGGCACTCGCTAACTCCCAACGCCACACTGCTCTGCATGAGGCCGCCTCCAACATCACTGCTGTTTCTGTGCTCAAGAACCTCCATCGTTCAGTCTGACGACAAACCTCTAACCCAGCTGTCTGCGGTGAGACCCCCACACCCTGAGTGAGCGGGCAGCCAGCTGAGATCTGAGGCTGGGACGCCTACACATACACACTGAGAGAGATGGTGAGAGACATACACCAGACACATTCTCTCTCTCTGATACACAGACATGGCGGGCCCTCCTGTGAATGTCAGCGATGTTAACAAAGAGTGGAGGGGCATTAGAGGAGGATCAGGCCCAAAGCTGCTGTTTCTATATATAACCAGGTGGTCCTGCTGCAGAGGGGCAGCTAATCTAACTCTGATTACAAAGGCCTGACCCAGGGTGGGATTGGGATCACTTTCTGTTCCTCACAGCAAGTCTTTCTTTATCTCTGTCTTTTCCACGTCAGACTAATTTTCTTTTTCACTTCACTGTAAATCTATGATAAAACCTTCAATCACAAAAATAGATC